GTATTTAAATATACAACTCTGTGTAACCAATCCTCTGCTTTTGGTATTGTTTCTAATATTTTATTATTAGATATACATCACCACAATAAAATCTTTATTGCATATATATTTTTCCACACTTGGGTGAGTATATCTATAGGATAAATTCCTAGAAATGGAATTGCTGATCAAAGTATATGAGTTTTTAATTATATTAATAAACAATGAATTATCAATTTTCCTGTCTAAAAGGCTTTATCACTTTACATTTTGATTAACGAGTATATTTTGTTGCCTTATGGTTGTGTACATTTTAACCAGACTCCCCAGTAATTTATTTGGAATGTCCCAGTGGTTGCAGAATTAAGGACTTTGCCCCACTCGTTTGGCAGTGTAGCCCTTTAGCTTTCCAAAAATCATAAACAACTCCTAAGAACTTAGCAACCAATTTCCTGCAGCAAATATTCAGATACATAGCCTGACAAAGATTTTTATGCCATTCCCAAACAGGAGAGGGAGAAATGTTGGACATTTCTTATTCTTAGCCTTTTCAGTGGCCGATAGGAAGAGCACTTGAAATTAGACCTATCCATTAAGTTTTGGAGACAGGGTGGCTGTTATCTGCACCCATCTTTGTTTTCTGTAACTGAGACCCTCATTTAATAGACAAAAAGCCTCTCTGTTGATTCTTACGGGATGCAGTCTCTCTAATCCAGTATTCCCCCAGTGTGATAAAGGTACTACTGTTAGCCCTCCAGATGTGTTTAGGTAATACAAGGATAGGTGAAACCCTGGCCAGAAGCTGAACAGCGCCACCAAGCTGACAGGCTGCTTCAGTGGTGGCTAAAGCTCATGCCCACTTTTATTTATTTTTATTATTATTTTTAATTTAATTTAATTTATTTATTTATTTTATTTTACCAGGGGAGAGCATGAATGCAGTTCCACTTTTATTTTTAATTTCAAGTTTAATCCAAATAATATACATAATGTTTAAGAGTTAAATACCATTACAAGTTAAATACTACCACAAAACTTGTCACAAAAATCCCGTTTCATCTCTGATCCCATCCCAGAAGCAATAACTTTAATTCTGTAGTTATTTTTCCACACTTAATTATGGTATCACTCCTTGATTTAAAAAAATTTTTATTAACTCACAGCCATGGAAGATAAGGATTTAGTTATCTCTCTTTTTCTTCCCCCTCCACCATATACAAAGACACGCTTTCCCTCTCCAAGTCTCCTAATATAATTATAATTTTTTGTTAAATCAATGTGTTTTTACATGACAATGACAATGTAATATTATTTCCAGCTGAGTGTTGTAGTTTATGATGATTACAATGTTTTTCTTATCAATCGTTTTGTTTTCTTGGCTTTAATAATCACTTCATGTTTTATTTGCTTAGTTTCCTAGGTAATTGATTCAGCTCCTATTCATCCTCAAATTCTTACCAGAACTCAAACCCTCTCCAATTCCCTCTGCTTTGTGCTCAGTCTAGAAACATTAGTGTGATGTCGTGGTTCTTGAAGCATGGTTCCAGGATAGCAGCGTCAACATCAGCATCACCTACGACCTTGTCAGAAATGCAAATTAGCAAGCTCTACCCAAGATTTACTGAATTAGTCACACTGTGGGTGGCTCCAGCTATCTGGGTTTTAATCAGCTCTCCAGATGATGCCAGTGGATTGGGCACTTAAGCTTGAGAGCCATAGGTCCAATGGTTGAAAACATGGATACTCAAACCTAAGGCTGCTGGGGTTCCAATACCAGGTATTCCAGTCATTGGTGATGTAACAACTTCCAAGCCTCGGTCTTCCCATTTGTCTTTCTTTTTCTTTTGAGACTGGGTCTCACTCTGTTGCCTAGACTGGAATGTAGTGGTGCAATCTCAGCTCACTGCAACATCCACTTCCTGGGTTCAAGCAACTGTTCCACCTCAGCCTCCCAAGTAGCTGAAAGTACAGGCATGCGCCACCATGTCTGGCTAATTTTTGTGTTTCTAGTAGAGACAGGGTCTCACCATGTTGGCCAGGCTGGTCTCGAACTCCTGGCCTCAAGTGATCCACTTGCCTCCGTCTCCCGAAGTCCTGGGATTACAGGTGTGAGCTACTGCACCCAGCCAGTCTTCTCATCTATGAAATGGAGACTAAAACAGCATCTCCCATGTAGAGAGTTATTGCGAGTTGCATGGTGTTAGGCATCATGACAAGCTCCAGTTTTCCTGGAAACAGCCTTCCTGGAGCCCTCTGAAATCCAGAGCCACTATGAGAGGGGAGCTCTCCAAGGCGGCTGCCTACTCTCCCCCAGGGATTCCTAGTACTCCTTGCTCAGGGGATCTCCTTCACTGAGGCAGCCACCTCAAGCTTCTGTCTTCAGCACCTCCTGCTCCTCTGAGATTCTCCTCCTATACCCCTGTGCCAGCCTCTCTGCCTTTAACCCTCTCCCACTCTCAGTTCTCCCTTCTACAACCACCATACCACCTGATTCCCAGCCCCTGCCCCCATGCCACCTCCAGCCTTAATCCTCATCCCAATCCTTCCTCCTCACTCCCCATAATCCCCCTCCCAGCTACCTGGAGCAGTCTCAGCCCCCTGTCCCCTACCTTCCATTCCTCCACACTCCCTCATTTCATCCACCCTCCCCTCCCAGAACGAAGCTCTCTGCTTTCCCAAGGGACCACCCCCAGGGCTGCCTGCCCCCTGGGTGTCCTCAGTCCCCTGAAGTACAGAGATGAATCAGCCACCTCAGCCTTACTGTTCTGCCCTCTCACTTGCGACAGTTCTTACCTATCTAAGCCTCAGCATTCTCCTGTGAAAGGAGGTGCGATGTTGTCCAGCCACATCACCAACCATAGTGCTTGGCATATAACAAGTGCTCAGTAAGTCCACCATTCTTATCATGGCCCCCACGTCTCAGCCTCATTATCCGATCCCATACATCCCTCTTACTATGTTTCCCACCACTCTACCCCCATTCACTCAGCTCAGGCCACAATGGCCTCCTTGTCTGCTCCCTCTCACCTAGGGCCTTCACGTTTGCTCTTCCCTCTGATCTGAAAAGCTCTTCCAGTAGAGATGCAATTGATCTGTTCTTTTACTTAAATCAGTTCCCTGCTCGATGGTCACCTTCTTAGAAAGCTTTCCCCAAACCATCCATTCTAAAATACCATCTACCCCATCCCTTGCTATCTTTTGCTTACTTTCTGGTCCCTCATGGGACTATTGTGATGTGAGATTGCATAACTGCACTGTCTTATTGTCTATGTCAGCCCCTCAAAGGCAGACGCTGAGTTTTCTCCTGCTCATCCTGATATATCAGCTCCAAAACTGCCTTGTACATAGAGGATTAAGGGCTCAAAAAATGTTAATTAAATGAATGATTTTTCTTACAGTAAAAGTGTAGCCACTGCTTTATTCAGCCAGTGTTAGTGATTCCTTGTGTGCAGAGAGCAAAGATGGATGGATCACTTGAGGTCAGGAGTTCGAGACCAGCCTGGCCAACATGGTAAAACCCCATCTTTATTAAACACACACACACACACACACACACACACTTAGCCAGGTGTGGTGGGAGGTGCCTGTAATCCCAGCTACTCAGGAGGATGAGGCAGGAGAATTGTTTGAATCCAGGAGGTGGAGACTGCAGTGAGCTAAGATCGTGCATGCCACTGCACTCCAGCCTGGGTGACAGAGTGAGACTCCACTGCTGTTCTTCTTCTTCCTTTCTTTCTTTTATCACTAAATATTGAGCTCAGGTGTTTGGCACTGTCTGAGGCTCCAGGGATATTAAGGCAGGCGTGTTTGCCAACAAGAAAGATGTAGAAGGAGGCTCACACTGCTTAGCTTGGAGAGGGCTGAGTGGAATAAAGAGGGGTGGAGCGTCTGGGGCTTCGGTTTGAAACCCAGCTGTGCCAGCTTCACATTCAGTTTCTTCATCTGTAAAATGGAGCTAATGAAAGTCACTACCTCATTGAATTGTCATAATTTTTTGTTAATCCCTGTGCCTAGCAGATAGAAAACTTTAGTAAATGTTGGCTATTAGTTACAACACTAAGTATAGGTTACTTCCATAATTTAAGCAAGTCAAAAACTAAAAATTTTGTCAAGCCATCAATAATTTATCAAGGAGTTTGGCCCTCTTAATAGCATATAAAAAGATTCACACTCCTTGTGGTCCTCCCAGAACTTCACATTCAATCTCTCTCAAAATTCAGGTAGGGGATGCAGCTGGAGGTCATTATCCTAAGCAAATCAACTCAGGAACAGAAAATCAAAAGCCAAATACCGCATGTTCTTACTTATATGTGGGAGTAAAAAATGGGTGCTCATGGACATAAAGACAGAAATAGAAACTGTGTACTACTAGGGCAGGGAGGGAGGGTGCAAGTGTGGAAAAACTACTGGTTACTATGCTCAGTACCTGGGTGATGGGCTCAATTGCATCCCAAACCTCAGCTTCACACAATGTATGCATGTAACAAACCTGCACGGGCACCCCAAAATCTAAAATAAAAGTTTGAATTATAAAAAGTAAATAGGCTGGGTGCAGTGGCTCATGCCTGGAATCCCAGCTCTCTGGGAGGCCAAGGTGGGAGGATGGCTGAGCCAGGGGTTTGAGACCAGCCAGGGCAACATGGTAAAACCTTAGAGGCATGTGCCCACACTCCCAGCTACTCAGGAGGCTGAGGTGGATCACTTGAGCCCAGGAGGTCAAGGCTGCAGTGTGCCATGATCATGCCACTGCACTCCAGTTTGGGCAACAGAGCAAGACCCTGTCTCAGATAGGTGGATGAATAGATGAGACGCCTAAATAAAAAAATATGTATGTGTATTAGAAAACAAAAAGAAACAAAGTCAGGTAGGAAAACTAGCCAGGAGGAAAGACACTGCTGGCTGTACTCAACCTATGAAGCCAGTGATACGGGGATGGGGCAGGGCCGCACAGTGCAGGCTTCTGTCCTTAGAAACTGCTAAGTAAGGACACAAGTGTTAGTGGCTACAAGGTTTTGGTTTTCTTCACATTTCAATTAAACTTTATTGTGGTATAATTTACATACAATAAAATTCCATCACCCAGAAAATTCCCCTGTGGCCCTTAGCAGTCAATTCCCACAGGAAAGACAAACACTGATATGACTTCTGCCACCCTAGACCATTGTTGCTTGACTTTATATTAATGGAATTATAGTATATACTTTTTCCCCCAATTTTTTTTTAGCTTTATTGAGTTAAAGTTGTAAAATTGATTTATATAAACTACACCTAATTTAAAGGGTACAATTTGAAGCATTTTAATATATTCCTCCCTTGAAACTATTACTACAGTCCAGATAACCCAACACCCCAAAAAGTTTCAGGTCCTTTTGTTTTCCATCCATCCTTCCTACCCCAACTACTGACCTGCTTTCTGTCACTATAAATTAGTTTGCGTTGTTAAGAATTGTATATAGAATCATCTAGCAGGTACTCTCTTGTGCCTGGCCTCTTTCACTCAGCCTAACTATTTTGATTCATCCATGCTGTTGTATCAATACTTTATTCCTCCCTTAACAAACACACCCTCAGCAACATTTCTTTGTATGGGAATACCACAATTCGTTTATCCATTCATCTACTGATGAACATTGCAGCATTTTCCAGTTTGGAATTCTTATGGGAAAAGCCACTGTGAATTCCTATACAAGTCACTTTATTAGCAGAAGTTTTCACTTACCTTAGACATGGAATTGCTGGGCCACAGGGTCGATATATATTTAACTTTATAAGGAATTGCCAAACTGTTTTTATTTTTTCCCCAAAATGGGTTGTACCATTTCAAAGTCTTAACAAATGGCTGGTTTAACAACAAGCTTGTTCCCATCTCATGGCTTTTGTACTTGTTCTACTTTCTTCTTGGAATGACTTCCTATTAGTTTTCAGAGCTGGGTTCTTGACATTCAGGTTTCAATTCAAATGCCAAATGCCAAAGGGGCTATTATGGACTGAATTGTGTCTCTCCTCACCCCAAATTCATGTTAAAGTTATAATTCCCAGTACCTTAGAATGTGACTATATTTGAAGATAAGGTCTTTAAAGACGTAATTAAGTTGAAATAAGGCTGTCAGAATGAAGGACAAGGACCATATGATCATTTCAATTGATGCTGAAAGAGCATTTGATAAAATTCAACATTGCTTCATGATAAAAACCCTAAAAAAAAAAAACTGGGGGTAGAAGGAAAATACCCCAACATAAAAAAGCCATATATGATAAACCCACAGCTAGTACCACACTGAAAGGGGAAAAACCGAAAGCCTTTCCTTTAAGATCTGGAACACAACAAGGATGCCCACTTTCACCACTGTTATTCAACACAGTACTAGAAGCACTAGCTAGAGCAAGCAGACAAGAGAAAGAAAGAAAGAAAGGCTATCTGTATAGAAAAGGAAAAAGTCAAATTATCCTTATTTGCATATTATTGATCTTATATCTGGAAAAAACCATTAGAACTGATCAATTCAGTAAAGTTGTAGGATACAAAATCAACATACAAAAATCGGTAGCATTTCTATATGTTAACAGTGAACAATGTGAAAAAGAAACTTAAAAAGTAATCCCATTTATAGTGGTCAGGCGCGGTGGCTCATGGCCGTAATCCCAGCACTTTGGGAGGCCAAGGCAGGCGGATCACCAGGTCAAGAGATCAAGACCATCCTGGCCAACATGGTGAAATCCCATCTCTACTAAAAAAAATACCAAAAAATTAGCTGGGTGTGGTAGTGTACACCTGTAGTCCCAGCTACTTGGGAGGCTGAAGCAGGAGAATTGCTTGAACCCAGGAGGTGGAGAATGCAGTGAGCTGAGATTGTGCCACTGCACTACAGCCTGGGTGACAGTGCGCGACTCCATCACACACACACAAAAAGTAATCCCATTTATAATAGCCACAAATAAATTAAATACCTAGGAATTAATTTAACTAAAGAATGAAAGACCTCTATAATGAAAACTATAAAACACTGAAAGAAATTGAAGAGGACACCAAAAAATGGAAAGATATTTCACGTGCATGGATAGCAAGAATCAATATTGGTTAAAATGTCCATACTACCCAAAGCAATCTACAGATTCGATGCAAACCCTATCAAAATGCCAATGACATTCTTGACAGAAATAGAAAACACTGTCCTAAAATTTAAATGGAACCATCAAAGACCCAGAACAGCCAAAGCTACCCTAAGCAAAAACAACAAAACTGGTGGAATCACATTAACTGACTTCAAATCTTCCAATTATACAACAGAACTACAGTAACCAAAGCAGCATGGTATCAGAATAAAAGCAGACACATAAACCAATGGAACAGAATAGAGAACCCAGAAACAAATCCATATACCTACGATGAACTTCATTTTCAACAAAGATACCAAGAACATACACTGAGGAAAAGACAATCTGTTGTGAAAACTGGATGTCCACATGCAGAAGAATGACATTGGAACCCTATCTCTTGCCATATGCAAAAATCAGCTGAAAACGGACCAAAGAATTAAATCCAAGATCTTCAACTGTGAAACTACTATAAGAAAACTTTGGGGAAACTCTCCAAGACATCAGTCTGGGCAAGGAGTTCTTGAGTAATACTCTATAAGCACAGGCAACCAAAGCAAAAATGGAAAAATGAGATCACATCAAGTTAAAAAACCTTCTGCTCAGCAAAGGAAACGATCTACAAAGTAAAGAGTCAACCCACAGAATGGGGGAAAATATTTGCAAACTATCCATGTGACAAGGAATTAACAGAATACATCAAAGGCTCAAACAACTTTATAGGAAAAAAATTTAATAATCCGATTAAAAATGGGTAAAAGATTTGAATGGACATTTCTCAAAAAAAAAAAAAAGACATACGAGTGACAAACAGAAATATGAAAAGGTGCTCGACACTGTTAATTATCAGAGAAATGCAAATCAAAACTACAATGAGATATCATCTCATCCCAGTTAAAATGGCTTATATCCAAAAGACAGGCAATCCAAATACTGGCAAGGATGTGGAGAACATATACTGTCAGTGGGAATGTAAATTAGTACAACCACTATGGAGAACAGTTTGAAAGTTCCTCAAAAAAAACTAAAAATGAGCTACTATATAATCCAGCCATCCCACCACTGGGTATATATCCAAAAGAAAGGAAATCAGTATTTCAATTTTCCAGTGTTTGTTGTAGCTCTGTTCACAATAGCCAAGATTTGGAAGGAACCTAAGTGTCCACCAACAGATAAATGGATAAAGAAAATGTGGTTCTCATACACAATGGAGTACTATTCTGCCATTAAAAAGAATGAGATTCAGTCATTTGCAATTACATGGACGGAACTAGAGATCATTATGTTAAGTGAAATAAGCCAAGCACAGAAAGAAAAACACTGCATGTTCTATTTGTGGGATCTAAAAATCAGAACAATTGAACCCATGGAGAGAGAGAGTGGAATGATGGTTACCAGAGGCTGGGAAGGGGCAAGGGGGAATCAGAGGATGGGAGAGGGTAAGAACAGTTAATGAAGATGGTTAATGGTCATGTTTAAAAAGACCTTCTGATCACCATTTTGCAACCATAATCATTGTTTCAAGCAAAAATCAGCATGAATTCTAAAACCAGTGGGTAAGAGTCTGATGAAGAACAGGATATTTAAATAGTATCAAAATATCTTCCCACAGGATACTTAATAGTTACAAAAGGAAAAATCATAACTTTATGGTGGAAGGTACCTCCCCCTACACAACCTCAACCAAATGATGGAAGTTAACACCATGAATACTGGGACAAATACAATGTCATGTGCCTCCTGATGAAAGGCCCTGAGGAGGCAACTCTTTTCAGTAATATTTCTGCCAGAAAATGCAAACCCTCACCCTCTCAGAATAGCAAGGGATGGGTAGGTGGTGTGGGGTGGGGGGTGGGGGAGGAAAATATGCATACTCTGAATGTAATCATAAGAAAACATCTGAATCAAAATTTAGGGACATTCTATAACATAACTCACCAGTACTCTTCCAAAATGTCAAGGTCATGAAAGACGAAGGCTGGATAACTGCCCTTCCAGATTAAAGGAAACTAAAGAGGCATGACAACTCAGTGCAACGTGTGATCCTGAACGGGATCCTGGGGAATAGCTATAAAGAACATGATTGGGACAATTAGCAAAATTTAAATATGGATGGAGTGTATTAAATAAAACAATTGTATCATTGTTAAAATTCCTGACTTTTGATCACTGTACAGAGATTATGCAAGATAATGCCTTTTTAAAGGAAACACACATAAATATTTGGAAGAAAGAAGCTTGTTGGAAACTCTAAAATGATGTCGTAAAAAAAGAATATATACATTATATAAGCCTGTGTGTGTGCGCGTGAATATCTACATACCATATACTGATTCCCTTTCTTGTCAGGTATAAACCATATGGATATCCACACACAATATGTGTGTGTGTGTGTGTGTGAGATATGGAAATGCAGCAAAATATAATAATTTGTCATTCTGGTGGAAAAGTATATGATCTTTATGATTCCTGAAATTTACGTGTAAATTTGAAATTTCATCACAAAAAAATTAGAGGCTTTCAGCTACCAAATACGCTATCAGAAATAGCCTGTCCCCAACAAGCACTCTTTAGCTCATTCTTTTTCTCCATCACACTTATCACTGGCAAAAATTAACCTTTAATACTTAACATTGACTGTGTGTAAGGCTGTCCTAAGTGCTTTATCTGTATAACCTCTGTGAATCTTCTTACAGGTGAGGAAAAAACACACAAGAAGGTTGATTAACTTGCCCAAGGCCACCCATGTGGTTTGTCTCCTGCAGTGACACAGAGCCTCAACCAAGGCTGAAACTGCCTTGTCTACTGCTCTTTCCCCAGTGACTTAGAACAGTACCTAGCACATTACAGGTGTTCAATAGGTATCGGCAGATTCAGTTAACAAACACTGGGCACCCACTAGGCCTACACTGTAATACAATGCACAGAACAAAATACTCAAAAATCTGTGCCTAAATGGAGCTTTGAGAATAACTCAGCCCCACACCCAATTAGCCTCTACCTATGTATTTCATTTGGTTCTACCATTCCTGAGAATTAAGACCCATTTAATCCATTTTGCAGAGGATCATCAGATAAACGATGCTCAGGGTGCGGCAATGATTTGCACAAGATCACTGGGCTGGTAGGAGGGAAGGTCAGGATTCCAACCCACTCCCTAATGTTCCCAGACCCGAGCTATGAATCAAACGACCAAGACAATCACCCTATCAGTATTTATTAGGCGCCTACTGCGGACTGTTGGTCTTCACGCAGGTCAGGCGAGAAGAAGGGGTCGTGGTGCGCGGGCCGCTGCGGAGACTGGGAGGCCGCCGCGGATCACGGGAATTTGGCGCCTATTTTTTGTTGGCTGGGTGTTCTCGCCGGTGATTGGGCCCCGGCGAGGCGTGCTGGTGCGCTCGGCTGCGGCTGCTCCGTCGACCTTGGCAGGACCGGGCGGCGCAGGACTCACTCGGCTGGCCTCCCAGGGGATGGGCCACCAGGAGTCTCCGCTGGCCCGGGCGCCGGCGGGAGGTGCAGCTTATATAAAGAGGTTATGTAAAGGGCTCAGCTGGCGCGAACACGTGGAAAGCCACGGGAGCCTAGGAGCCCAGGCCTCCCCGGCGAGCGCCGCGGCAGCAGAAACACCGGCCGCACGCCGGACTCGGGCTACCGCCTCCCGCGCAGCTCGGTCCCGGAGGCAGCCCCAGCGCGGAGCGGACCATCCCCAGTCAGGGGCTCCGGGGGTGAAACGAACTGCCCGGAAGTGGAGGTGCGCGGGCCAGGTAAGGGTGCCGTTCGAGGACTGAAGGGCCAGCACCGAGGCTGGAGTTACTGCCGCTGCCTCCGCGCTCGAGGAGGGCAGTCGGGTTCCTCGGCCGGTCGCGCTCCGAGAAACCGAACTTTTTAGCCAATCTCTTCTACCCGCAGCCCTCGGGGACTTGGGTCGGTCCGCGGGGCTCCGCTAGGGCTTAATTCAATGGACTGTTTACACCCGGGAGAACACAAGGCGGGGCGTGGGGAGGGGCGTCACGGAGGGGCCTGGGCAAAGAAAAAGTTTTCCGCCAGCCGAATCGCATCTTAAGGCGGTTTTCAGAAGGCGTTAAGCTTGCTGTGTCTTCTTTTTCTCATCGCCACACGACAAACTAACAGAAAGAGGAGAGTTTGTGCTTTTTTTTCCGGTTCTCCCTCTGAGCTGCTGCCCAGTGGTTCCGTCTTTCCCGCTTTCCCCTCCCCTCCCCCGTTCAATCAGCGGCGGTGGCTTCCGTCTTAAAGGGGCCGCGGCGGCCGGGGGAGGAGGAGGAGGTGGGACGCTCCGCGGCCTACTCTCCTGGCCTCCCCGTCTCGGCCTGGTTGTTTAACCGATTCTTTGGCCCGCAGGTCACAATCCAAGGTCCCGCTCCTCCGCGTCCCGGGGCCGGACGGAGGGATGAGGCAGGGGGGGCCCGGGCAGCGCCGTTGCTGCTCCCCCCGCCGCCCGCAGCCATGGAAACGGGGAAGGACGGCGCCCGCAGAGGTACACAAAGCCCGGAGCGGAAAAGGCGAAGCCCAGTGCCGCGGGCGCCCAGCACGAAGCTGAGGCCGGTGGCGGCGGCCCAGGCCATGGATCCGGTGGCGACCGAGGCCCCGGGCGAGGCCTACCTGGCGCGGCGACGGCCGGAGGGCGGTGGCGGGTCCGCGCGGCCGCGCTACAGTCTGTTGGCGGAGATCGGGCGCGGCAGCTACGGCGTGGTTTACGAGGCAGTGGCCGGGCGCAGCGGGGCCCGAGTGGCGGTCAAGAAGATCCGCTGCGACGCCCCCGAGAACGTGGAGCTAGCGCTGGCTGAATTCTGGGCCCTCACCAGCCTCAAGCGGCGGCACCAAAACGTCGTGCAGTTTGAGGAGTGCGTCCTGCAGCGCAACGGGCTAGCCCAGCGCATGAGTCACGGCAATAAGAGCTCGCAGCTTTACCTGCGCCTGGTGGAGACCTCACTGAAAGGTAGGAGCACCGCAGGCCTTTCCACACTTGCAAGGCCTGGATCCTCTGCTCTCCGGATAGTTTGGCCCACATTGTTCCCGGCCCTCCTAGGCCTCAGACCTGGTTCCTGTCACCCTGTGCCCGGACACACCCTCCTTTCCTAGGCGCAGGAACTCGGCCCTCTTTTCAGGTCCCAGGATCAGTTTCTGGGCCTAACGTTGGCTGGTATTTTAATAACAAGAGCTTAGGTGCTAACCATTAACTTAATAGGTGCTCAGTAATTGTGAGCTACGGTTATTAAATGTCTACTACCTTTTTAGATCGGTCAGGGAGTGGAGGAGGGGTTGGGTTCAGCTAGTAGCAGAACTGCGGAGCCCACTCACCCTCTAGGGTCTCTCTCTTTCCCTCCCAACACGAACAAAAAGAAAAAACTTCACTGGACCCACCCACACCCTCGCCCTGTCTGGTTCCAAGTTTCCTAACACCCTCCAGCTCCCACCCCTAAACTCTTGTGGTCTAGTCTGCCTTTTCCTCTGAGGCCCCCAGCCCTTCATCCCAGGCAGCCAAGCAAACTGGCGTTTTTCTAGCTTGGTCCTCCGAAGCATGCAGGCTGACAGCCCTCACAGGTGGCCTGAGAGCTGTCACATAACAAAGCATCCAACATCTTTTCCCATTGTTTTACAATCTTAATCTTTTTCTTAACCTCAGAGGCTGGCTGGGAAATGGTTTTACTTAGAAGGAAAATGGGGTTCATTGAGGCAAGAGGTCTTCCAGTCCTGGAAGAACTAATTACCTTAATTTCCTGGTTTTGACTGCAGTTAGGGAACGTGTTTACCCTAACTACTCAGTACCCACAAGCCTTGTTCGTACTACTACTATTAGCTAGATGTCTGCACGGAGAGGAGGAGAGGGGCAGTGGAAAGTTTGAGAAGACTGAGGCAGGAGGATCCAGGGGAAGAAAGTTGACTAATCCAAGTCCCAGCTGTGGTCTTAGCGCTGAAGTAATTTTTAGGTAATAACTTCAAAAGTAAATTCTGTCCTGTTTCTATAAATAGGGAAACTAGGCTTAGAAGTGAACAAATAACTTGATCAGGGTTAATCCGCTTGAAAGGCAAGTTAGACTGTGCTCCTGTTTCCTTAGGTTTCTCAGAGCTTAAGTGATGGGGAACCCAGATCTGTTTTGATTCAAGGCCTGGGTCCTTTCAAAGGTGTAATGCTGTTCACCCTACCCTGAGGATGAACTTTTAAGAATGGGTAGGATTTGGGGTGAGTTTGGAGGGGGTGGTCTCCTAAAATCTTCTTTGGAGCTTTTGCCCAACTGAAAGATCCCACAAGCCAAGTCAGTTGTTTGACAGTGGAATTGGAAACATGAATCAGTATCACCTAGATTCCTTTAAATAGATGTCTACCTTTATGTCCATCCCTGTCCCATCCATTCTGAGAAGCCCACCCTCTCCCCAGCGTGAGTGGTTTTGTTTTAAAAAGACGTCCAGCAGGGCACAGTGACTCACAACTAATCCCAGCACTTCGGGAGGCAGGAGGATGGCTTGAGCCCAGGAGTTTGAGACCAGCCTGGGCAACAAAGTGAGACCCTGGTACTCCACAAAAAATAGAAAAAAAAAAACTAGCCAGACATGATGGCACAGCCTTATAGTCCCAGCTACTCAAGAGGCAGAGGCAGGAGGGTCGCTTGAATCTCGGAGGTTGAGGCTACAGTGAGCCATGATCCTGCAGAGGCACTACAACCTGGGCTGCAGAGCAAGACCTGTTTCCAAAAAAAAAAAGGCTCCCGGAGGATTCTTTTCTTACTTATATTCTAGGAGCATATCACTTATTTCCAAGTCCTTCCATTCTCAGACTGTCTTCTCTACTGCCAATGAACGGTCTGGACTTCCTGCTATAAGTCTGCTCGATGTAGGAATTTCCTTTGCCAAATGTTTACTCCTTGTGTCCTCAGTTCATTGATGCCAGTCTTGAACCTTCAACCTCAGTTTGAAGTTCTTGCTTACTCTCTCAACATATAAATACTGTGTAGACTTTCCTCACCCAAAGGATTTGTCAGAATTCCACAGTGACTCATGGCAGCATTGCATAGTGGTTACTACCATGGACTTTGGGATTAGACCCTCTGGTTCATCCCAGGACTGACCACACAAAACATGGCGCAAATTGTTCAAATCCTATGAGGAGCGTTCCTTTACTGTAAGATAGTGGATGTGTACCTATGACATTAGGTACATATGGTCACTGTACAAATGATTAATGTCAACAAGTGCTCCACATAGGAATTCGCTGCCTTTTCTCAGTTTGCACCATGTTCTGTACCCTTCTACCCTCACCCCTTCAAGTTTCCCAAACTTGTTTCACCACGAACACACCTTATTTTCTGTCTTGTCAGGCACACCAAGTTGACAGAAACACTGGTGTTTTTGTCCTCCCTTTGTGAACTAAAACTGAGACCTAGAAGAATGAAATCGTTTGCTTTAGGCCGCGTACTGGATATGTCCCTTTCGGTTGTTTGACGTCTTCAAGATATTTGAACGACTATGGTGTTCAGGGCCCAGAGACAGAGTAGTGAAGAAAATGTGTATTGTTTCTGCTTATGAAAATGACACTTGCTATGTGTTGATTTTTCAAGTAGTAAATAGGTAATCATTTTTGTTTGTTAATAAAATAGCAAAGACCGAAATTACTCCAAGTTAAATTTTCCTTACTTGGGATTCCAAAGCGGTCTTGATCTGTCCTGGGGCCCTGGGTTTACAGCATGCAGATACCATCCAGTAATGTTAGAGCTGGAAGGAATCCTAGAGATAACCTGGTTCTGCCCTCTCATTAGACAGAAGAGTCCTTTGCAATCACCCATGGCCCTGCCTCCTGCAACTCAGAATGATTTTGAAACAGGCCAAAAAGTGGGAATCGGTCTTGAAGTCTCAACCAAACCAAATGCTGGGTCCCTACTGTGGTATTTTTAGGGAAAGAAAAAGCAAAGCAAAACACACCACTCCTTCCCCCAAAGGAACTTAGATTTGAAAAGTTTGAGAACTAGAAGAAGACTTAAATGCTATTCAGGATCACTGGAGGAAATGACCAGCCAACTCATTGGCAAGGGCTTTGTACAGAACTGAGAGGAAAGAGAATTGGGAGAAGATGGGCTTGAAAGTAGGGTGCCTAGGATTGTGGATAGACAAGAAACAAAGTGAATCTGTTTCACTATTTGGACAGTAAAATAATCCAGTATCAAAAAGAGAAATGTCTTGAAATGCCGTTCTGAGTCTTACTCCGTTTGGTTTGATAAATGCATTGTCTCCTTCTGTTCTGTGCACAGACCAAACAAGTCCTGCCCAGAAAAATTCAGA